AAAAAAAAAATAAAAAAATAAAAAAAAATGGGGGGGGTGGGGGGGGGGGGGGCTTAAATAAGTGGTGTTAACAGGAAGACTGAAAATCTTATCATTACAAAGGAAAATGTTGTGGGGCGGTCAACATTCGGCCTCTGATGTGTTACGTTGATGTTGTATTATTATAATTATTGTCTAATTCGGTTCGTCCTCTTGCTTTGCTTATTCAGCGCTCCTCACCATCATTCCAATACTAATCGTAAAAGCTCGAGGCCAAATTCTATGTATCGGATCACAAAATATTTCTTAACAGAATATTCACTTCAGACAGTAAACAATAAATCTCCTAAACTGGAGGAACCACAATTGTCATTGCCTTGTTACTTCATATGTAGATAATTCACTCAGATGTGTTGTTTAACTGTCACGATGCTATGAGATGTACATTGATCACGGCCAGCGCCATCAGTACACAAAGTCTATCCCTTTTTGTCTACTCGTACTTCCGCGAATGACATATTAATATGTAACTTCCTGTTAATCTTAAATATGTCAAAGCAATATATTATGCGATATAATTCATTATGTCAATACTTGAGATGTTGCAAGATTTATCTGAGAATCGAGTTAGCGTGCTTCCCGCCAAATCTGAAGCTAACACAATTAGAAGCACAATTTATTTTTTTTTTTTAATTTGTTACCAAGTTTTGTTTGTTTCTTTGGAGTTGATATGGTTAGAAGCATTTTGATTGCGAGATATAAAAAAAGTATGAGAACTAAATTCTGTTTCGTTTACTATTGGTTGGATAAGGCAAAATAATTTTAAACGACTCACGAAGGATATGTATAACCGATCCACGAAAAATATTGTTTTGATAAAACAATGCCATAAACGGATGATGTAATGAGTTTGAACATATTATTAGATTGCCATTATCTTAAATGTATGTTTACGAAAACTTACACTGCAATGATCTTATTGCAGCATTGTAATTGTTGGTAAACTGTTCTTTGTTTGCGCGGCGTTTGTTCAATTAATTTTCCATATGTATAGATATATTTATCAGCTTCCTTACGCCTCGGACATGGGAAGTTAAAGTAATAAAAAATCAGTTGTCTGTTTGGTTGATTCGAAGGTGATGTAACCAGAATTGACTTTACTCTTTAAATTCCTAACTCAAAAAAACGACCGAAATTTTCGTCATTCATAAAGCATTGCCTCCTTTAGAAATTACTCTTTATTTCATTCTCAACCAAGAGATTCCTCCCGAAAAGAAAATTCCATGAGATTAGTCTATATAGGCAATGAAAACAAAATGAAGTTTTATTTCAGAGACTACAACGACGGACTTCACCACGGCAAGCAGCGCAGAAGATATCGATGACACAACGCCTTCCATAACCACTGACAATATGGATGACACCACTGTGCTACCCTTAAACACAAGCCCCTCCAAAACCACTGAAAACATCAGTAAGGCGGAGATGGAGTCAATGATTCACGAACTTCAAGACCAAATTAAAAAAGAACTGCTTGTTCAGTACAGGAACGTGTCGATGTTCCGAAGGGCCAAGACCACTGCTGAGGATAAAAGGACGTCCTCGGAGGTCATCGGGTCCGTCATAGGGATAGGCACGATAGTATTCGTTTTCTTCTTAATCTGTATCGCAGATGTGGTGGCGTGCGGCTACTTTCTGTTCAACTTGTTGAAAAACAAATGTTTCCCTTTCAAGGAAGAACGACCTTGATGCATACAAGTAGACGTAACTAACCGTTAATTCCCAAGAAGCTTCAGTTTGTAGGGCCTAAAACAAACCATAAGAATAAACCCAATTTGTCACAAATTCCTCTTTGAAATTTTCAAAAGGCTGCAGCCGTGACTATTGTTTACTCAGGGACGTCATTTCAGTTGGGCTGTGTGGGGGATTTGCCCCTACCCCTGATTTTGCAGGTTTCATGCTGTGTACTGTGGTGATTCCAGTATCAGCAACTGAACAAGCCGACGAAGTTTTGGTTTTACCCCTTCCCTTGAAAAAAAATTGAAATGACGCCTCTGTGTTTAAATATTAAACATATTTTTTTTTTCAATAATATTACATTCAAGTGTGGCTTTCGGCCACCAGTCGATATTATTGAAACTTGTAACAAGAAATTTCAATGTCTATTTTAAGTTTAATTAACGTTTTTGTTAAGTTTCTAAGCATAATAGTTTAACACAGTTCATTAGCGATTCGCTTGAACTAAATATAATGTATAAAAATTGATATAATAACTTGGAGAGTGCACGATAAAGCTGCTCGTATCATTTTGTTTTTAAATTAAAGTTTCAATTGTTATTTCTATGTCCAAGAACAGAAATTATGTTCAATTTTTGTTTTAAGCAAGCGTGTTTAGGACATTGTCAAAGATTTCATTTTCAAAGCAAAACATAGTTATCCAATAAAATTAATTTTTGTCGGAAATTTTTGGTACTGTTAAAAGAAATATATTTTCCAGTTCATTTTAAATTATACGTTTTAATACTATATCGTGTTCCTTGTGCATTCAGCATTTTCTTTCTCTTTTTCTCTCTCTCCTTGTCTTTCCCCCTATCTCTCTATCGCTCTCAAAATTACTTCTTTCTGTCCTTCCCTCACTCAAAACCATCTGTCACTCTCTCTCTTTCTCCCTCTCTCTCTCTCTCTCTTTCTCTCTCTCTCTCTCTCTCTCTCTCTCTCTCTCTCTCTCTTTCTCTCTCTCTCTCTCTCCCTCTATCTCTTTTTCATGAATCTCCCACGTTTGTATGTTTTACTATTTCTTATAAATTAAAAAATTCTTTCTCTCTTTCTCTCTCTCCTTGTCTTTCCCCCTCTCTCTCTATCGCTCTCACAATTACTTCTTTCTGTCCTCCCCTCACTCACAACCCTCTCTCACTCTCTCTCTCTCTCCCTCTCTCTCTCTCTCTCTCTCTCTCTCTCTCTCTCTCTCTCTCTCTCTCTCTCTCTCTTTCTCGTTCTCTCTCTCTCTCTCGATCTATTTTTCATGAATCTACCACGTTTGTGTGTGTTTCAATTGCTTATAATTTAAAAACTACCAACATTTGTGAAGCTTGCAATATAAAACGAACAGTTTATTTATAAGTATCCATTGCTAAGAACTAGAATAAGTTCATTGAACATAATGTACGTTTTTTATTTGATTTTAATTTTTTTTTATCACAGCAAGCTCAAAATTCTTTCAAATAATGTTGGTGTATTTTTACCTGCAGCGTTTTTAAAAATAACATATTTCAGTTATAGATCATAAGGTTATCAATTTTTCTAGGTAACTTTGAATTTTTCTTTTAACAAGTTATATAATTTAAATATTATCCAAACTACTGCAGTCCTCTGTAAGACAACAGTAGTTCAATAGCTTTCAAAATTAATAATTTTTCTTTTGACATTATTCACCTTGTACTGAAAATTAATTGCAATTAATCTTAGTAATATTAGATTAATCAATTAATAAAACTTTATGACCATAGAATTATGTTTTAAAAATGCAATTCTAATTTTTTATAATTAAATTGAGATAGAAGTGCTGAATAGTTCAATTACGTATAAGTGACAGTCAATATGCCGAAGCCAAAGAACTTCCCTTTTTATCCTCTTTATTGATATAGTTTCCTATTGTCTATGATATTGACATTCTTTCAGTATATATTGTAAAAAGTGTGATGTATAAATGCCAATACGTCAATACTTCTTAACGTGTAATTAAAGGGGGACAAAAGCAGCTTTATAATCCAAAATGTGTTTTGAATAGTTTCTCTTGACTCCGTGACGTATGGTGTTATGTATCCATGACGTCTGTGTCTCGTGCACCTAACGATCCACTCCGGGGGTTTACGTAGAGGAAATGGTTTACCCAACACTCGATCAACAGTTTCATAAACTGTCGGATCAGACTGTTTGCCCAAGGGAAACAATTCTTGAGACGTTGATTAGTTCCCTTCAAATTGTAACCTACATAAAATCAATAATTATGCCTTTTCTTTACGACAGTGTTTCGATGTTACGGATCAGTGCAATAACTCTGCATCTCTAATCTCATATATAAATGACAGCTCGGTGCGCAAGCAGCAATTCTAGATGTGTATGAATGAGTTTTTCGATGCCTAACGCGTTCGCGCCATAATGTTGATATAATGTACTTTGCATAATTTAAGTGTAAAATTTTTTGAAAGACTTCAAAAATAAAATCGATTGATAAACTTTTTTTTTCTTTTGTTCGTCATTGTTTTTTGTGACATCGAACATTGTCTCTTTTATTCGTGGATAAAATATGAAAAGGACACATAATACAGATGTTTAATCCTTTACAGGAAACATGTACATAATATCTACTCATCTAGATTTGATTGAGACAGCAATGTAATTACAATCTCCCTGCCGCCCTCTCGGATACTACATTGCAGCAAATAGATTACTTTCATTTAAGTTTTATTTCAGGTTGTCCTTTACTTAGTTTTAATTATTAGCTTCTACCTGATTGCAGTCTCTCCCACTTATTACCATGAATCGATGCCAGCGCACACTGAAAAGCTCCTCGTGTCTTAGACGTGTTGGCCAAGCCAATGTCTGCTTTGATGCGCCTTGAGGTGTCACGAAATTAAAAGATTATAAACTTCATTCGAAAAAATATTTGCATCAACATCGCATGCTTAGAGGAAAAAGGAACGAATTCATAGAGATTAAATAGTTTTTTTTAATTATTTCTAGAAAGTATAACATGAGTTATATATAAGTTATAGATCATTATAGATAAGTTATATATAAATTCTTGTTATATAACAACATAGGGAATCAGTTTTATTATTTTCTTGTTAATTTAATTTTGTGTGTGTGTTTTTTTTTTTTGTTTTTTTTTTTTTTTTTTTTTTTCCTCCATTTTTTGTTTTTTTTTTTTGTTTTTTGTTACCTCCATGTTGATCAATAAATGGAGAAAATTTCTGATATTCAGAATAAACTGTTATGTAATATTCAGATTCTAAAAGCGTTTCTTCAAACCATTTTTTCTCCAAGATTTATCTCACTAACGTATACGTAATGAACAAACTCGATTTATATCACGCATTGAAGTTATGAGATTTTTTTACAAATAAAAAAATAAATCATTTTTCGTTATAATATATAAATAAATAACATTAAGATGGCAGCCGGTGTAGTGTATGCCATCTAAAATAATTCAGAAATCCATTTAAACATATACAACAATCACAAGCACAAATTAAAAAAATGCTTTAAAAAAAATGATAGTTCTTTAAAATTTTGGAACATGAGAAAAGAATGGTAGAAGATGTGATTTACATTAAACAGTGATGACGTGGTCAAAATGTCAAAATTCATCACTGTGTTGTCTTTTATTATCCCAGTCGATGTTGTCGATAATTTCTTGCGGAGAGAAGTCTGCTGAAACAAAACAAAGATGTACGAATGATAATGTGAGAAAATGTGTGTCTTTGATTTTAAATTCGTTTTTTATTAACTCCGCTTTTCTTCGCGGCTGGGTGGCTGGCCAAATATTCGGACGGCTAATAACCCACTTCCCGCGAAACTATTAAGCTGAAACTCGCTATTAAGCTGAAACTCGGCCCATAGACTCGTTGCTAATGAAAACACACTTTGCTACATTTTCAGCCCCACCCCCAAAATGCAGGTTGACACTGATTTCACGAAATGAAAGTCCCGATAACTGCGCTACATGAGATTCTTTCAGAAAAAAATATCGCAAGTGCATTTTGTGCGTAATTATTTCTTATAATTTTTTTTTCTGAAATAGTTAGTGAAATAAATCTGCAGTGTATTGCTGATGGGTCAATAAAATGTGCATTTTAATATAGTTCAGGTGCGTGAAAAAAATATGTGTTTGCTAGCCTTGTGGGGGAGCTCTAATTGTTATTTTTTTTTACAAAGCGCATTAGCCTAAAGCATGCTTTGCCCCCCCCCCCCACACACCAATTGCTCAATATAACATTATATAAAGGATTTATAGGACTTTTTTTGTTTTTAAGGGTTGTTTAAGCTTAAACTGAATTTTTCATGTTATTATTAGAAAGCATATCTTTAAAATTGTTATTTTTTTTTACAAAGCGCATTAGCCTAAAGCATGCTTTGCCCCCCCCCCCCACACACCAATTGCTCAATATAACATTATATAAAGGATTTATAGGACTTTCTTTGTTTTTAAGGGTTGTTTAAGCTTAAACTGACTTTGTCATGTTATTATTAGAAAGCATCTCTTTAACTATGTAGTAGATTTGCTAATTAGATAATACCTTTATTTAAATCGAAAATAGTTAGGAGGAAATATAGAAAAATAATTGTGAAATATAAATTTTTAAAATGTTCTATCAATTTTCCCTTTTTTTAAAACAAAAAACGTATCTGTAAAAGTATTATTGCAGATCTGATGGAAAGTAAAAACAGCTGATAGTACATTGATGGCCTAATGAGAGAAACCGTAATAGAAAGAATGTTAAGATTCAGTTCTAAGAACTTACGGCACTCCAGATAAAGATTTAGTTTGACCTTCAGATCTGAGAGAACAAACAATGCATAGCTCTTTGATATTCCGCACGTTGTACTTATCACACATGTAGTCAACTCTACTGCATTCCTGAAATTGAAAAAAAAAATGTTTTATTTCATTATTATACCTTCTATGCAGCATTGGTTAATTATATTTTTAATACTACATTTATTCTCCTAACTTACGCAGTCTTAGAAGCAATTTAATTTTTTTTTTCAATCCTTCATGCTATATTCGCTTTTGTGTGTGTGTTTCTTGGTTGTTTGGTGGTAAAATTTTCGGACGGCTCATTGACCCACTTCTCGTAAATCTATCGAGCTGAAACCTGGAACACAGACTCGTGGCCGATAACAACACCTCCTATCACCTATTTCAGCCTCATCCTCCAACCCAAACCTCATAAAATTATTTTTCCTGTTTTATAAAGGGAAGGTGAAGGAAATATGGTGCAACTGATTTCAGGGAAGAAAATTCCCGATAACTGCGCTAAATGAGATTCGTAAATATACCGCTAATGCGTTTGGTGCGTAATATTTTCTTTTCTTTTTCTGAAATAGTTGGTGAAATGAATCTGCGGGTGGGACATTGAAATGCGAATGCAAATATTTATAAATATATATAAAGGATTTATAAATATATGTGTTTTTAGTGGCTGTTCACTTAACTTTAATGACATGATTTCTGTTTTAAAATTTCAATGAATATGAAAAAATGTGTGATGTTCTCAGGATACTCAATAATGCTGGACTACGATAACTATGCTAAATGCGCTCTTTTTGTTTTATTCAATGTAATGTAATGAAAAACTCTATTTTTGATACCAGCAAATAGAATCAAGATCCAATTCGTGTTCAAAAATAGCATGTGTGAAATGATTCAAGCATTTAGCAAGGCCAGGTCCACAACCTGTTGAAGAGAGAAAAAAATCTAGAAAGTCTAGAGCATTTTTTTTTTAAAATGAAAATTGTGATGTGAGAAAACATCGATGTAAAGATACTTCTTTTAAAAGTAATGGAAATTTAATAAACTCTTTCTAACTTTACGTTTCAAGGGCGTGCATTGTCTTTGTACTTTTCTTTTTTCTTATTTAAACATATAAAATATCAAAAACTGATTCTGTTATATACGTACAAATTTTATTTTTTGACGTTGATGTTGAGACGTCAGAAGAGTGTGTAGAAATTATACCAAGATGCCTACTCTTATTATCCTTGTGACATCGGGTCACACATTATAGTGTACACTATAAATCTCGGTGTGACTGTGTTCGATTAAAGTTTGATCAATCACAATAAAACCAAACTATTGATCTCAAACAAATTAAACGTCGTCATACCTCCTGGCCTAAAGATGGTAGCTGAAAAATGTGGTCATAATCCCCTTAATCCAAAAGCTGTAATTTTTAAAAAATTGTTAAATGTAGAGGGAAGAGAGGAAAATAAAATATTATTTTCATATTTAATGTCTCGGGGTGACAATCAAGTTAAGTTATTTTGGTCAACGCCTTGTAAATAAAGTTGTATACCATGTACTTTGAACACACAAAAAATACGTAACATAAATTTTAAACAAAACATTATCTGTTTAATGCACTGATATTCTTCAAATATACGGGAATATGTGCTGCACCATTTTAATAAGCTACAGTACATTGTGTGATTTAAGGATTGTTTAACGTGAGATTAGATTACCACGTAGTTCCGGGGCGTTTACCAAGTGTGCATTGCCATTACTGGGGTCCTACAGTCATAGGCGTTCCCAATAAATTGGTGATGCCATTTTTATGTAGTCGTTGTTTGCGCGGAATTTGGGAATCCCCAGTTTGATGACTTAAACCGACTTCAGCTTTAAGTCATACTACGTCACTAATTGGGTGGTTGCATTTTGTGAGTATAGAAATGTCTCAAGGGAACAGTTTGTCACGGCCTTTCTTAATAATAATTAAAAAAAAGAGTTTGTTGTACATTCATTATAAGCTTCTTAAATGTTACACACAAGGGCCTGCCCTTAGTCGCACACTCTTCCTCGCCTATATGAGCAAGCTACCCAGTATGTTGGTCAAAACATGTATGCATGCTGACGTTTTGCTAATCTGGGGCTGCGTAGAGGACGCCAGTCGACTGCAACGGCATCTACCTCAAGACCTCTTGCTAATAAGAAATGGATTAATAAGACACGAACAAATTGTGTCAATATAACTATATAAGTTACGCTTTAATAATAAGTATACTTTATACACAAGTAAACGTTTCGGCACATGTCTTCATCAGTACAAACAAAAAAACACATTTAAATAAGTATAAATTAAATTTACATAATATAAATATAAATATCCTACCTAAAAAAGAAAAAAAATAGGAGAGGGCGCTAAAAACAGACAAAAACAAAGTAAAGAGGAGTAGAAAGGAAGTGATTTGAACATAACTGTAAAAACCAAACAGGAAAAAACCATGGCAGCTAGGTAAAATTGTGGATTTGGTTCATTCCATATGGAGACAACGTACCAAATCTTGTTATTAATTTGTTCCCCATATAGATTATACCTATAGTGTTACTAGTATAGAGTATACCAATAACTGCGATGTCTGAGATACCATCATTGTTAGGGCTATTGAAATGTTTGGAGACCGGGCAGAGAGCTTGTTTATTTATGTTATAGAGGTGTTCTCTGAACCGGTCCCCAAGGCAACGACCTGTCTCTCCTATGTATAATTTACCGCACTTTTTGTAAATAATGGTGTAAATCACGTTGCGACTTGTGCAGGTAAAGCCATCTTTTATTCTGAATACTCCCAGAGGGAAAGTGATCGTATCAGTTTCGATCACATAGGGACATGAGTTGCAACGGCTACGGTTGCAACATTTTGTGCCTTTATATGCTTTAATAGCAGGGAGGTGGCTTCTAACTAGCATGTCCCTAAGGCTCTTGTCCCGCCGGAAAGCGAAAAGAGGAGGTTTTCTGAAAATTTCATTTGTGACAGGGTCTGCCATCAGAACCAGAAAACGAGCTTTTAGGTTATTGGGATGAAAAGTTAAATAAATTTAGACCTATCCCTAGCGTCAGAATGAGTGGCTTTAAAAGAATCCTGTCTAGTCATACCTTTAACTCGAGTGACAGCGGCTTTTGAAATTTCTTCAGGGTATAACCTGCGTCGGAAAAAAATCCAACATTTTAGACATCCTATCCCCAAAATCCTCATCATCATGACTACAGAGTCTTCTCAGTCTCAGCAACTGAGAAAAAATGCAGTTTTGTGTTGTTTATTTTTTTTTAAAATGTCAATGTCATCCCGCACGAACTACCACTGTCTCACATGCCCAGGCGGGTGCAGCAATTCTGCTTAAGTCGGATTTGGGTAGTGGGGGGGGGGGCGCTTATGATATTTGCTCCTTTCAGCTTGGCTACTCCAATTCATCACTGTTGGTCACATGAAAACGCAAATGAAGGCCTCTTTGACCTGCACACGAAGCGGTTGGTTTGACTGTCTACCTTTCATAACGCGTTAAATGCCTTTAATCTTGGAGATAGTTGTCCTACTTGGATAAATACATTTTTTTTCAGGGAAAAAATTCGAATATACAAAATTATAAACTTTTTTCCTCTAAACTCTAAGTCTGATTTTTTAATCGGGTCTAATCTGTGATATAGAGTCATAAAGTCGTATTTAATTGTGAGACCTTTATAATTCTCACTTCAAAATAAAAGCAAAAAAATTATTTGAATCTATAAAGCCATACCTGTGAAAAACAACAAAATTTACTTGTTTTTTTTTACTTTACCTTTAGGCAAAACATCTGAAATTTTCACTGAGGCACCAACTAACATACAAAGGGAAAACACAAGGAAAAACATGCTCTCTCTTTTTTTTTTCATCACACTTGGGAAGCTTCAGTTTTTAAAAAGTAACAGTGAGACGTGTAGCTGTTATTGTTAACCATTACGATGTGAGGTGGGTTTTGGAGTAGGGTTGTTATTGGTGGTCACAATCAGCACTAAATTTAGAAAAAAGTTTTGACACCATGACGACATTTTATTGACTGGTAAAGATTTGTCTAGGAGTCTATTGCAACGTCTTGAAGGTATCACAAATAGCAAACCGGCTTCTAAGATAAGCAAGATAGCTGCAAGATAAGCCTGGCATGACTTCACGCTCAGTAGTTGGAGATCGCTAAATATATCTCATTGAACGGAGTTAATGATTCATACAAGTGAAAAACTGATAAGACATTCCCTCCCCCCCCCCCGCCCATTCTATCACTAACAACCCTTTCCAAACAACAACAAAAAACTGTTAAGAGCATGACTTCACGCTCAGTAGTTGGAGATCGCTAAATATATCTCATTGAACGGAGTTAATGATTCATACAAGTGAAAAACTGATAAGACATTCCCCCCCCCCCCCCCGCCCATTCTATCACTAACAACCCTTTCCAAACAACAACAAAAAACTGTTAAGTTCCTTAGTTAGATAAGATTGCTCTCGTAGTTTAGAGCATTGATTTACGGATTATCGATCTAGTCACGTAATTCAGAGAGCAGGCTTTTTTTACGGCACTCCTAACAATTACCTAGACAGGAAAATCTGGCAAAGGTTTGTGTGGACATGTTTGCATTTGTTCAGAATAGTAAATTATTCGGGGGTCTTTCCACAATCGAGATTTCAAGTGAACAGTCAATGAGGAGTTAACATTCACTGAGGAGTTAACATTCGGTGAAGATAAAATGCCACCGTAAGCAGGACCATTCTCACTCCTTTCGTTACATTTGCATCATTTCTTTTTCTTCTAATTATGACTTCCTGTCGTATTCCATAGCCGTTATTGAAATGGGGAGCAAGTAACATTCTAAATAGTGCCCAACTGTAGATATATTTGTTGTTTTGTCTCTTGTTGCATGAAACACATTCACCGTCATTGTAACTTTTACTTTTTGAAATAACCCAATGAAACCATCGTTAAAATGAAGGCTCATATAATGAGTAATCAAATTCCTAGGTAAGGGAATGTGTGATAAGTCCGCTTTTTTAAAAGATTTCCTTAGGTTTCTTTTGTAGCTTCTTGTTCAGTACAAAATGCAATTTCTATAGCTCAAATGATGACAACACCCTACACCCTATATTGCTATTATAATTTTTTATATAGTTTTGTACTTTTTTAATCTCAGAATACTCAGAGTAAGGCTGACCTCTTTCACGGATATGATAATGAAACTTGCATTATATGACTCAATGAAGAGAGGGATAAAGTAATCCTGTTTCGAAAATCTTTAAAGCCGCCAAAAGATAAAACATGCAGTGGTTAAACTCCATGAATGTTTTCCGGAAGTCTTTCAGACCATGGCAAAACTAGTTCACATGAGGTTTTGAAAAAAATAGTTTAATCTTCATAAAGGACATATGTTTCTAAAGTTCTAGTTTTACCCAAAGATGTTCTTGGCAAGTGGAATGAAATTAGCGATACCACTACGTGTATATCTTTGCCACTCACTTATTTTAGTAATATGACTGTAAACATTATGAAGCTTGGGGGAAAATAATTTATAACTTTTAGCATATTTAATGAAAATCGTTTTTTTTTAAATTGTTATTTGTGTTGGCCTCCGCCCGTCACAATGAACTTTGGAGGGCGAAGATACACAATGCCTGTGATTATTCTTCAAGGATTATAAGCTGGTTCCCAACAGCAAATCGCCTCTCTCCACGCCCCTGGGTAACCCGAGGGAAAATCACTTGGATGATACAGCTTCGCACCAGTGGCATAGCAGGGGTTGTCGGAATGTTTCATTGTACCAATGTTATCCACGTATCCGGGACTCCGTCTCCGGGTTTTGATTTCAGAGTTTCCTTCTCCTAGATGAGTGGCCATCCAAGGTTAATGACTCCTCTCCACCCGGGTTGCTGGTGATGTTATTACTTGACTGGGCTTTTGGCTGGAATTGAACTCCAGATCACCAACTTAAGATTTGTTCAGTTTAGACCACTCGGTCACCCTGCACCCTATAGTGCTATTATTATTTTTTATATAGTTTTGTACTTTTTAGTCTCAGAAGACTAAGAGTAAGGCTGACCTGTTTCACGGATATGATAATGAAACTTGCATTACATGACTCAATGAAGAGAGGGATACTTTTTTGTTGTTTTTTTTAAGAACAACGCATTTCATAACTTTATAATTATATTACTTTATGGATAAGCGAATGTAGTGTATGAATCATTACATTCAGAAATCAATCATAACGTGACGCATTACATTCAGAAATCAATCATAAAATGACGCATTACATTCAGAAATCAATCATTACATGACGCATTACACTCAGAAATCAATCATAACATATTTTTAAAAAAAAACACGCGTACAAAAAACATGCACGAAATAAGATAATTATATTTGCTATATCAGAGCAGAACGAAAGATTATTTGATCTATATTAAACAGAGATGATCATTCAACACCGTCACAATTCATCAGTGTGTTGTTTTTGATTATCCCAAACAATGCTGGCGACAATTTTTTTCAGAGAAAATTCGGCTGAAATGAAACATATTGTTGTTTTTTTTTTAAATACAAATTAGAGACTTGGGGGAAAATATCTAATTCATTTTGTCAATGTATTTAAAAGTATATTTTGAATATTAAACTAATTATGCTATTTAATGACATGACTACTTCCAATAAAATGTTACATTATTCAAGAGAATATTTTAATTACTTTTATAAAAATATAAATTATTGGATATATAAATTCATTCATGTAAATCTGAGTGCAGTGTAACTTCACAAACACTGAATGAAAGAAAGTGTGGATTCATGAGAGATCAGATTGTCGAGTATGGGAGTTCATTAATGATTGTGGCGACTGAATATTATGTTTTATTCAATCGCGTTGTGTGTGTTTGAGAGTTTTGTAAGTTAGTGAACGCTCTTCCCGCGCTTGACTTAGTGACGTATTTTATGCTGATTGTGACGAATTGTCTGGATTGTATTGTGACGTAAGGTTTAGTCATGCGGCAGTCGTGAATGGAACTTTGTAGAAGTACGGAATGTTTTAGTTATTCCTGATAGCGACCTTTGCTTATATATATGCACGTGTTTATAATTAGATAATAAAATAATAATTACTATGAAAAGGACTTGAGTTTTTTCCATATTAGTATGATGTGTGAAAGAACTTAACGAGTTAACCAAACCAGTAAAACAGAGGCGTGGACACCGATCAATATTAAAACTTACGGCAGTCGGCATAACGATCTAATTGCCTCTTCAAATATACGAGCCCAATCAAGGCGGTACTCTTTGTAAATCCACACGGTCACGTGATTAAACATTGCATCACTTCTTCTGTATCCCTGGAATCAAAACATTGTCTAATGTCATCCCTATTGTCGGATTAATGTATTTCTTTAACTTACAAGTGTCCAAATTTGTCTTAGAATTCAGCACCAATAATTTGAAGATTATGAAAATTTAATATGATTTTTTTTTTAATACCTACCTTATGCCGATGTCGTAAATGCCCTCAAATGATTTTTTTTTAAAGTTTATATTATTTTGGACCAATTCATTTGATAATAATTTCTTATAAAAACATAAGAGTTCCAAAGGATACATTCGTTCACTATCTATCATTCAATTTAAAGTGATCGCAATGTTTTTACCCGCACACATTCGCCAGAACATCGCTTCCGTGTTGAAAGAGAACTAGTATAAAATCATGCACACATTTAGCAATGCCAGCTCCACAATCTATTTAAGAAAGAAAAACTAATGATAATTTAAATTTAAAAAAACAACTAAAGTAGTTATACATTATAACGTAGTTGGTCTCTTTATATACAGCAGCACTACTTTAAATATGTTAAAGGTGTTTCTATTTCTTGTGAATAATGATGTGAATGCTTTAAAAGTATTAGTCTTGCTCAGTAGCGTAGCCAAAGAGGGGTAGAGGGCGACTTGTTCCCCTTACAAACATTTTTGCCATTTCGGGAACTCAAAAAGCGTTTGTTTTTCTGCACAAATCTGAGAAAAAAAGCTCTGTTCCCTTGCCTTGAAACATCTGACGTAATTGTAGGTTGTTGTAGGCCTATTTAATTACAGTATTTGTATGTTTTTTTATGTTTTCAAAATCTAAGAATGTGATAACGTATGTTTTAGCATTTTTTATAGTTCTGAGTTGATTCAACTCCTTTTTTTAAACGAAACATAGGTCAAACTGAATTTGAATCTAATTATAGAATCTAAAATGTTTTATTTATTTCTACAGAATGAAAGTACTAGTATTCGAAAAATAATTATTTTAAAAATTGCATAATAAATTTCAGAAATTGGTACTACATCATTCTGATGCCGGTAAAAATTCCTTAAAACCTACATGTTACTAGATTGTGTCCAAAATATATCTTCAACAAGTTTTTAGCATTGATTTTAACAACTTAGGTTCCAAATGTTTCTGTTAAAGGTCCAAAATATGTTTTCGAGGATATGTGACTCTTCGTGTCCTTGACAGGCATGTAGGCTGCTGGAATTTCATCGACGGTTGAAATTAAATTATCCAATAGTTATTTCATTTAAAGACAGGAGGGAAATATCAAAATATCTCAAATTAGAAAATAAGACCCGATGTTATCGGGATAATAATGGTAGGTCCTTTGCGATGAGGTCTACCTGCTATTGCAAATACTCTGCACAATTCCTAACCTTAAAAAAGAAGTAGGCTATGTAATGATATTTACGTTTCTAAATTCATTAAGTTTTGAGAAGTATTTATGTGCTATATAGGCCTATTATACGTCTCCACCACCCCCTTGCACGCCCTTCAATTACATTTTTATATATGACCTTAATTACCAAATCTAAATTATCATTGATTACATCATTATCGTTACTAAAGAATTTAATTTCACCGCTAGAGAGATACTTTGGAGATCTTGTGTTTTTAAATTATTGTTAAATGTTGCGCCTACCCTACCCTTTCTTGTGCCCGTGAACTACAATTTTTTTCTCTAATAATTGTGAAAACATAATCTTAAATTTACATCAAAAACTCTAT